ATCGTCGCCAGCATCGCTACTACCATCATCGTGACTACCATTGTCGACGATGCCATGATACCGCGCCCGCCCAAATCGCCGACTCGCTCTAAAGTGCCCGCGGAACTCCCACCCGTCAGCGCCACCGCGGCCGCATCGGTCGCCCCGAACTAGCTGGCCGCTTCGCGCGCGAGCATGCGCGTGCTAGCGCGCCGCAGGGATGCACCAGCCAACGCCGAACAGTCATCGCTATCGCCGCCGCATGGGTTTTGCAAACCAAGTTGCGGGTGGGTGGGTGGGATGGTTGCGAGAGCAGTGGAACTGATAACTTCAATTGTGGCACGGTGAATTGCACCACGTAAGTTTTCCTCCCTTTAAAAAAGAATAGATTTGACCCCCCGGGATTATCCGCTCAACTCTTCGTATTGCAAGTTACCTATAATTCTGTCCCATCGCCCATCCGAAATATGAACTCGCATCATCCCAGGGGGGGGGGGCAGTATCGACCCCGTCCCGCCATCCTGTGCAAGAAATACTATGCGCGCGCACTCGTTTATTACAAATCAGCAAGGTCTAAAACCCATTGCAAACAAAAGGACGAAATGCACACGCGCGCGTCGTCGCGCACGCATGCGGGCACCTTCTGCAACATTCGGCGTCGCAAAGATTTCAACAACGAGTGTCACAACAAAACGCAGAATCCAAACACATGGCTTCGAACCGCTGATCTTATAAGAACAACGTACGCGCGAGCTCTTGCGAATTCGTTTGGGAACCATGCATTTCGACATGTGCATAACATGCTACCAGACGGGCGTTGCAAGGAATGTCGCCATCGTTCGACGCCCTTGCGCGCGTTCTGTCGCAGGAAACCTTTGCAACACACGGGGCGAAATGCACGCGCGCGCACGCCGTCGCGCGCGCATGCCGAATTCAGTCAGACACGCTTGGTCCCGTAAGGATGTCAGCGCCGAGTGTCCAACCACACATAGAACAACCCATTGTTTCGCAACGCTGGTTTTCAAAAAAGCCTGCGCTCGCGTTCTTGCGAATTCTCGCGGAAACCGTGCAAAATCAACATGTTCACAGAATTCTGCCAATCGGGCCTCCCGCGCCGCATGCCGACATCATTCGAACGCCCTTGCGCGCGTGCTGGGGGAGGGGCGCGGCCCGTGTCAAATAACACCATGCGGCTACTCTCGCGCGTCGGCTGCGCGCGCGTGTTGGGTCCGTTCCAAAACTTTCATCACCGACGCGAAGACGCCGTCATCGTCGCCGGTGTGATCAGCATCGGCGCCGTCATTGGCCTTGCCGTCGTCATTGTTACCTTCATCACCATCGCTGCCCTCATAATCGTGCCATGATACCGCGCCCGCCCAGGTCACCGACTCGCGCTGAAGTGCCCGCTGGGAGTGCCCAGCGGTCAGCGCCACCGCGGCGCGTCGGTCGCGCCAATCTAGCTGGCCGCTGTGCGCGTGAACATGCGCGGGCTACCGCGTCCGCAGAGATGCACCAGCCAACGCCGAACACTCATCACAATCGCCGCCGCATGGGTTTTGCAAACCAAGTTGCGGGTGGGTGGGATGTTTTCGAGAGCATGGGAGGTGGTCGAGCGCAGTGCAGGGTAGTCACCGCATATACTGCACCACGTATACAGCAAATCGTAGATCGCACCACGTATATTGATTGCACTACACACGTTGCATTGCACAGTACGCTAGACCACACTCTTGGGAGTCCACGCTGGCTAACCTGAATTCCAAATCGCGATCTCGCGCGGGACGTCCTTGGCAAATGAGAGGATGCGGGAGAGCGTAAAGTGAGCTAAGCATCAAGCAGAGTAAAACTACCTTACCCCGGGTGATCTCCAACCGAAAACGCGAGACAATAGCCCCAGAGAGCCATTGCCACCCTTGGTGCCTGGCGGCCGCGGTTTTCAGTCGTCACCCATCGAAGACGCAAGGCGGGACAACTTACCCAACGGACACCGACACACGTTGGGCCTGCCAGCCGCGCTATGCAGCGTGTGCGTGGCGGGTGGGGACTTCTCCTTCAAAACAAGCAAGCCCGACCTGTCAGGACGGGAACCCGCCAGACCAGAGAGGAGCCTACTACCAAGCTCGAGCAGCGAAACAGACGCCAAAAAGGGTCTGCGCAAACAGCTGCAATGCAGAAGCCTGCAATGCAACATGACTGTATTTCTGCTCACCATCGTCGGCGCCGTGGCCTTCACGACATTCCTGGACCTCTCCAGACCACTCCCGGCTCTATCAACCAAGCTGCAACACAAACGGAACATAGTGCTTAACCTTGCAGCAATGCAATCAACTTTGTTTTTGGTTCTGACCGCCGTTGTTTGCGCTGTGGGCTTCGCACCCTGAATCCCTCACTCCAGCCTCACGTGGGGAATCCTGAGCTCAGACTCAAACGACCAAACTGAGGCGCAGAAGAACATCTCCAGCGCAAACAAAAACTGCAATGAAAAAACAAGGCAATATACACATATTTGTTCGTCGTCGTTGGGCACGGTGGGTTTCAAACCCTTCCTCAACCTCTCCAAACCACTTCCGTGTCACACGCGGCATCCTCGGTTCAAGCTCAAGCAATCAACCAAAAGCGGCCGAAACAACTGCTGCACAAAAGAAGCAACATTGCATGCGGAGTGCGAAGTGCTGAAGAGTAACGTAGCGCGCTCTGCGCAGGCGCCATGCGCAACAACAAAAACCAAACTGCAACGCAAAACACATCGCAACGAACAAACTTGCAATATGCTCATCGTTCGTCGGCGCCGTGGGCGTCACACCCTCCCTGAACCTGTTCAAGGTCCTCCCGTCTCACACGAGGAATCCGAAACTCAATCTCGGGCAGCCAAACTATATAGCAGAACAGTATCGCTCAGAACATGAGTGCATCGAGCAACAAAACATGTTCAATGCAAGCGTACGAATGTTTCCGGATGCCGCGGGCTGCACCCCCTGGCCCCTCCTCCTTGAACCTCCCCAAAACACCCGGTCGCACACGCGACATCTTGCGCGTAAGCTCGAGAAGCCCAACTAAAACGAACAAGAACAGATATGCCAACGCACTGCAAAATACAGCGCACAACAACCTTCTCTTCTGCTCATCGTCGTCGAGTGCCGTGGGTTAAAAGCGGGATCCTACAGTCAAGCTCGAGAAACCGAAGTGCAAGCGTGGTACTCGTCTTTTTGAAGCTCTGCGTCCCGCCGTACGCTACACGGTTTAGAACTTTATCCAAACCAAGCCAAGCCAATCTTGCAGCGGTTGGCCCGTGTTACACCTTGCTTTTCTGTTGGCGCACCCTGGAGTCGAAACGCCAACATGAAACAATGCATACATATCAAACGACCGGCAACACAACAAACAACGCAAGTGCAATCCGTACGTGTATAGAGACACACACATATATATATATATATATATATATATATAAGAAAGCACATGCGCATGCACATACATATACATTTGCGCAACGGACAATGGTGGTAACACAGCAAACTGAGTTTCTGGTCATCGTCGTTTGCGCTTTGTGTGCCATACCCTCGTTCAGCCTCATCAAAACTCACCCGACTCACTCGCGAAACCCAGACTCATGAGATCAACGTCACACAATAGGCGCACAACAAGCTGCTGCTATGCAACACAAAGCCTGCGGCACAAAACAAGTTGACTGACAACAGGCAGAGGTGACACACACAAGTTTGTTAGTCTTCCACTCCATGCTCTGTCCCTCCTCCTCTTTATCCTTCTGCTCCTCCTCTCCCTGCTGCTGCTTATCCTTCTCCCCCACACCCCGTCCTCCTCATATCCATGCTGCTGGCCCCCCACACTCTCTCCTCCTCCTCCTCCTTCTCCTCCTCCTCCTTCTCCTATCCGTGCTGCTGCTGCTGTTCATCTTCGTCCTCCTCTTGCTTTTCCTCACCTTGCCCCTCTGACGAGATCGAACGTTATTCTTTTCTGCAATCCAGGTGGAAGGCGATACTGCAAGTAGTGACCGTGGGAATGATGGACGCGTTACTGCAAGCGTCACTCATGGGTGACCGTGGGTTGCAAGCAACTCGACCTGTCGCAGGCGCAACCGATGGACTGAACGCGAGGCTCAAGCGGCACACACCTGCGACGCACACATGTATCAAAAATTGGGAACACACTCCGCAACAACAATCAGGGGGACGTAAGACCTGGGTACAGGGGACTCGGAAATCCCCGACGAAGTCGTCAAAAAAATGACGAGGCCGAGCCTGCATTTTGACGAGGCCTCCCGCTGCAGACATCCCACGAAACTCCTCCTCGTCAAAATCCGAGGCGCGGTCGTCAAAAAACGATGGCGAACCCGAGTCCTGGCAAACCCGGGTCTTACGCTCCCCCGAAGCAACAGTAAACAGTTCTGGCCTCGGGCCAGTCCTGCAGCGCATCGGGAGGTGGAGGGCGAACGAGCTGCCTACCAGCGAGAGGGTCACACGGAGCCCTCCCCCTCGCACTGGGCACCCCGCAAGCGCGAGCGGCCACCCGCGGTCCGCGCACCCCCGAGGCCGCGCCTCGGCAACGGGGGAGGGCGGGGGAAAAGCGGATCGCACCTGCGCGACGAGGAGGAGACGGGTCTCCTGCGAAAAGTCATGGCGACCTTCAGCCGCGGCTTGCGCGGGCCGCCAGCATGGCACGCTGCGTTGGAAGCGGGGGCGCTTAATTATGCGCGACCCTGCGCGGGCAGCTTCCGCGCGAGTGTCTGCGCAGTCGACCCCAAATTCTTCCGTCGCTGATCTACTCCTGGCCTGCTTCCAGGGGCAACGAAAGGGAGGGGCCTCTACCAGGAATCGGCGATGCATCGCCTATAGATCGGCCACAGACTCCCGCTGGCGAAGCCGCATGTGCCTGGGCGCGGTGGGCTATCAGGCCTATGTCGGCGATCGCTGGGCGATGTGGGGTCGATGCGTGCCCTCCTGAGCCTACGCCCCCCCAGTGTTGCCCCCGACCAGAGCCTGGCCTGCCATCCCTCAGCCCTGCTACTCCTTGCGGGCGGAAGCGCTGGAGGACGACGCCGACCCGCTCGAATCACTCGAGGGGCGCCGCTGCTGCTCGCTCTCGCCCGGCTCACCCTGCCGGCGGCGAGCGGGAGAAGGAGCCGGGGTGGTACCTCCGAGTGGGCACAGAAGGCCTCGCGTCGTAACAAAATCAAGACGAAAGGTTTTCAACTACTTTCGGCCCCGGGGGCCCTCGCCGGGCCTCGGGACCGTCAAGAAACGACTCAGGACGAAGAACCGGTCCCAGGAAACGTGTCGGGACTTCCAGGGACGCCGTCCTGAAAAAGTCAGGACGTCGCATGTCTGGGCCTCCGAGCCATGGACCACGAGCCACATAAGCCGCTGTGGAAAGCCACTCCACGCGAACTGGCCACAGGGAGCCAGGCAGCCCACGCGGGCCAGGAGCAGCAGAACCGACGGCCCAAAGCTCCCTCCAACACTTCAATTTCGAAGAGGGGGACCCAGCAACCTCGATGCATCTGAGCATAAGATGTCCACAGCACCGTGTCTGCAGGAATGCTCGTCTCTCATGGGTCGACGCAGGCCTCCCACATGGGGTAAAGGGTAGATGGCGCCGGGGGATCGCGCAGCATCGCCGATGCAGCGCCGACATCGGCGAGGCATCGGCGACGTCACCGTAGAGGAAATCGGGCTCCACATCGCGCCGTATCGCCACTGCATCGGCGATGCGGCGCGATCCTCCGACCCCATCTGCTCTGACCCCATCTGGGGGGGCCTCCCCGGAAGACCATGTCGGGTGTTGCCAGAAAGTGGTCCTGGCTCAAACCCAAGCCCCCTCGCGTCGTAAAACAACTATGGCGGACGATGTTTGGCCCTTTGCGGCCTCTGGGGGCCGTCACCGGGCCCCAAGACCGTCGAAAAACAACCCGCGGTGAAGAAGTGGACCCCAGGAAGGGATGCACACCTCTGGGGAGCCACGTCGTGGAAAAGTCATGACGTCGGGGCTCTGGGACAGGTGTCTTCAGCTCCCCGCGCCATCTTGGAACCCTTGGGCCATCTGGGCCTCGTGAACGGTGCTCTGGAGGCCATCGCCTCCCCAGAAGTCCTGGTGACACACTGGGGCCAGGAACGCTTTCGGCAGCACCCGATTTCGATGCAACTCCTGGGTGGTCTTCGTGGGAACGGTTCGAGGCAGTTTCGACTACACGTAAGAGTGACCCTTCGCTAGAGTGACCTTTGGTGCTGGCCCCAAGGCGGTCGGGTGATTTGAAATGACTTTGACCTCGCGTCGGCACCCGTGTCGGGTGATTGCGATCGCATCTGAGCGCGCGAGGGTTGGGCCCACCCCCCTCAATCGACATCAACGCATGCGCGGCGCACCCTACGGCGTGCTTCGGTTTCCCCCGGGGTGCCGGTTGACCAAACGACGCGGTGTCCGCCCCAGGACCGTCCCGAACCCCAGCCCAAATCGTAAATCGTCCAATTCGGATATTTTTGGATATCTTTGAATCTATTTTTGAACCAATGGGGATCTCTACAATTGCGAATTGTCCTAGCATATTCAGACATATTCCAAGCCCGCGGATGGGGTCGGTTTTGGCCATGACGCCGGACCTGGTTAGAGGTCATCGCGATGCGGCCCAGCAGCGCCAGACCTCATCGTGGCGGCCCCTGGCAGCGTCTGCTTTCGCAGCGCCTTCGAAATGACATTCGGGGCGTTCGACTCGAATTGGCGGAATTCCGCGGTTGCCCGCTGGCGGAAAAATCTTTCCAGCGGCGCCCCGCCGATCGTTGATGCCGCGCGACAATCCTGGCTTGAGCGGTTGCGATGGGCCCTCGCGGGCGCCATCGAAGCCGCGCACCAAGGTTTGAGCGGTTGCGTTGGGCCTTCGCGGGGGTCATTGAAGCCGCGCGCCAAAAGTCACTCCAGCCCAGGGTCACTCCGGCCTAGGGTCACTCCTACGTGTAGTCGGCAATTGGGCCCGATCGAAGTGCCACTAAGCCGAACTGGCCCACATCAAGCCCAATATCAAGACCGATCAAGCCAAATTACGTAAACGGAATGCAACGGGATTCGCCCCGATCGGGTCGGCTTTCGACCACGGCTACAGCAGCGCCGATGCTGACGAACTCAACCTCCCAGCAGTTGCGTCCTAGCTAGAAGGGGTCCGAGGCTTTGAGGAAAACCTATCAGAAGGCCGGGCGGCCTCTGGAGAGGCAGCTCCGCCTTCTTGAAAGGCCCCCCCCTCGCTCCCCCCTCTTGGAGACGCCGCTCCGCCTTCTTTCGAGGACGCGCAAACATGGGTTAGCGATCGATGGATTTGGCTCGCCCGTCGCCGAATCCATGGATCGGGGGAGGTGCCCTCCCCAAACTGCGGCCAATGCCGCCTCGTTCGGCGACGGAAATCCGCGATTTCGCAAGGAAACGGGACCCGTCGCTAATCCGCGCCCCCTGATCCATGGTTGCGATCGCCTGATTCTTGGAAGGCCCCAAATCCGCGCAGAACGGCCCTTGGACCTCTCCACGGGTCCATCCTGGGCAGTTTCCCAAGCCGCGCCCGGCTGCGGCGTCGAGAACCCCCCCAGAAGACGCCCGAAGACCGCCCAGAACGACGGCGTCGCGGGCGGCAGAGGTAGACAGAGGAGGAGGGGGCGGAGGAGAAGGAGGAGGAGGAGGAGGAGGAGGAGGAGGAGGAGGAGGAGGAGGAGGAGGAGGAGGAGGAGGAGGAGGAGGAGAAACGCCAACAGAATTAGCCCAGCAGGTTCGTAATCCCCGAAATCCCCGACTGACGGAAGGCGGCTTGCCTGGTCCTTGCCCTGATAGAACTCGCCGCGCATGAACGGTCCTGACCTCCCTTCCTGCGGCAGGCGTTGAAAGCAGACAAAAATGCCAACCGGTACTACGCATGCATGCATCTGCACGAGGGCTGTGCGTGGATAGGCGTGCTCTGAAAGCGCTGGCATTACATCTGGCGGCGGCCAAAGACGGGGCATGCAACAGGCAAGAGGCTCGGCACCCCAGTCTTTGGGCAGCTGCGGAACAATCTGCTTTGCAACGGGGACGAGAGAGCGGGCGCGAGAAATAATGTCGGACATCGCCAGTATTGATTTGACGACATCCAAACACACAAACACAACAACCGGTGGCTTGCCTAAATCTGCGGGTGGTTGGCCAGGCATTGAACATGGCTTTCAGGAGGATGTGATCAAACAGCTGTGCAGTCGCTTGGCCATCACGTTTAGTCTCAGAACAACAAGGCCAACATCCACATGGGAGCAGTCATTGTCACAATGACGTCGTCGGGCGAAGATGCGCTGGGGAGGGTCAGTATGAGGGCGATTACTTATCAGGAGCGCGGCAACGTTTTGTTGTAACTGTTTGGCAGGGCGGTCGACAGGAGCTTGATGAATACCAATGCGGAGTTCAAATTCGCGGCGCATATGAAACATGCCCTATGGTTGGAAGTATGGATGTAGGGCGCGTGCAGGAGCGAACTCATCATCATGCTCAGCTTCTAAATAACAACGATGCCACCCGGGGAATGCATGACTCCTCAAAGATACTCGCAGGAGGGGGCGCGGCGCAGGATCGATGCACTCTTGCGCCCAGCGGGCAGACCAAGACCTTTCAGGTAATGCATCGGTTCCGGGGGGGAATTCTCACTCCCGCTCGAGAAGCGACCTGCTCGGCGGAAAAAAATGCCCCACGCGAGTCGCAACAGGCAGCGCATCAACATTACAGGCCTGAGTGGACTTAACGAGACTCTGACCAAGCCGGCGCGCGCCCTCCGTCCGAGACCCAAGTTGTCGCCCCGCAGCGGCCCGGGCGCGCGTCGAGCCGCCAAGGCCCACCGCAACGCCGACCAATTTGCCAGAGCGCCTCATCTGGGATTGAATAATGCTCAGCCCACGGTCGCGAAAGCAGTCGACCGCCTTCTGGGGATCATCCGGGTTCAGGACACTGATCACGCATTTCGCATTCCTTGCTGTTCAAGTGGGGGCCCGCGAGGCCGCCAGAGACCCAGAGGCTCTCGATGACGAGGGGGGGGGGGGGGGACGTGAATGTTGCGAGCGACGAGGGATGAATCATTTGCGAAGGCAGCTCGAACCCCAGACGAGGCCGCAGCTGCAGAATGTGCCGCAGGGCAGGGTCGAGGATGAGGGCGAGGACCCCGCTGAGTGGGAAACCCTGTTGCATGCCTCTCTTGGCCCAGTATCCCTGGCTGCAATTTTCCATGGAGATGCAGCGCGGTGATAGCGAAAGCCAGGAAACGCGGCAGGCCCGTCTTGCCCAGACGACAAGGATACAGTTTTTGAGAACACTCGGGAACGCATTCTTACAGTCGAAGAGCGCGACGCCGCCCACCGCCTAACACAGCGCTGCGCCCAAGGGAGTCAGCGCGCCATTCATGGTGATCAACTAGTCATTGATGAGTCTGCCTTTGTCGAAACCACGCTGGATCTCGCGGCGTGCGTCGGCGGCAACTTCGTTAAGCGCCGACGCAGTGGCAGCGCTCGCGAGCTTGTTGTCCGCGTTGGACAATGAAGAGGGCGCGCAGCTGCAGGCTCGCGAAGCTCCGCCCCGCTGTTCCCCACCTCCCCCTTCGGCAAGAAGACAGCGCGGCGGCGGTTGAAGTCGTTTTCCAGATGGCCCCCTTCCAACAGAAACTCGCGCAGCTGGTAGCGCGCGACTTGCGTTGCAAGGCCCGAGAAGAGCCACGCGGAATAGGGGGTGCCGTCTGGCCCGGCTGCTGCGTCTGTCGTTGCGGAGGCGATTCGGCTAAGAAATCTGTCTTCCGTCATTTTCCCATCGAATCGTGGATGAGCCAGTCGTTTTCGTAATCTGCGAGGTCGCGCCGTCCGCGCGCTGGATATAGCTACGCAAAGAAGGCCCACCAGGAAGAATGTCGGGGTCGCAGCTCAACGCTCTTCCCCAATAATTGGCCAGATGGGCTGCGGCACCGTTCGGGTCGGCGCGCACTTCGCCTTCGGAGCCTTTCGCGCCTGCGAGCTTGATGTGGGGGCGCAGGGCAGGCCTGGCAGAAGAGAGTCTACGAACGCGTGAAAAAGCTTGCTCAGCTATATGGCTTGCTCAGCTATATCCGTGAGCTTCTGCGTGTGTCTCGGGACCCCCCCCCCCCCTTCCTCGCTGTGCCGGGCTCTCATCAGCTCGGCAAGATGGGCGCGGAAGCCAGCCTGGCCCAGCCGCGCCATCACGGCAAGGTTAAAAAAAGTGAGCACATGCCTGTGCCCGTGGCAAGCACGACGGGCATGCCGAGGACGCTGAGAGCGATCCGCGCCTGCGAGCTTTAACGCGCCGGCGGCCTTGTCAGCCCTGCTGACGGCGCCCGCAATCTCAAAGCAGCGACGCACCTGAGTGGAGGCAAGATGAAAGGTGGCTTTGATCGGAGGGCACGGGAAAAGGGCGCGTGATCGGAGGGCACGTGCTGCTCCGTTACTTCCCATGGGGCTCCGGGCGAAGGACGGTGATCGAGTGGCGTGGGGTATCCATGTCTATGTATATCCTATCGAGTCTAGCGTGGCTCTGACGACCACGAACGATAGCTTTACGCGCAAAGGATGGCTGTCCCACTTCAGCAGAGTGCTTCGGGGAGAGTGCGTCGGAGGCAGTGGCGAGGCGAGATGGCGTAGGCGAGGGCGTCGGGGGTGTCGGGTAGCATCTAGCTTCGCCATGCTCGTGAAAGCTGAAGTCTCTAAGAATCACGCTAGTGCACTGAAGCCGGAGCGAGCATGCCTTTCTGACAACTCGGGAACCAAATGCGCCGCTGAAAACTGAAGAGGCACATTTGGCCCGCAGCCCTGCAGAGAACGCGCGACAAGGGGCGACGTCGACAAGGGCGATCTGCGAGAACTTCTCGGCGAGGCTTTTGCGGGCCAGGATGATGATCCCACAGGCGTGCCCGCCCGCGATGACTGAGCGGGGAAAGCGAAACCCAGGGTCGTCGCGTTCCAGGGCGGCGAGGCCCCCCTTCTGACCGCGCCCCCCCCCCCCCCCCCCCCCCCCCCCCCGCGCTAGCATTACTTCCGCCCCCCCGAGCTAGACTGGCCAATGCTTTGAACTTCTCCCGCGAATGGGGGGGGGGGAATGAAAGAGAGCGCGCGCGTCCCGCGCGCGCGCGTGCAGCAACTGGGCAGGCAAAAGCGGCGTGAGCCTGGCATCTGCAGCAGATAACTGAATGTGTCCATCAGTCCCTGGAGACGAGCAGGTACCTGCAGAGTCTAGTGAAGTCGTTGCACTCCACTTTATACCTGAAGGCAAGCGCGCGGCGTCGAAATCGCTGGGCTCCATCGGCGCAACAGTCCCACTTCAATCTTCGATGCCGATGACCGACGAGCGCGGCGTTGGCGTCTCCTAGATAGAGAGCGCCCGTGTGTTGAATGTCGATCTGGAAGTGGCTGCGCGTGACCTGATCGACGTCGAAGGTGCCCGCTGCGTGGTTAACCTCATTAAACGAGATGAGCGGCCAGACGTCCGTGCCATTGGTCCAGTGAGTCGTGCCGCAATAGCCGTTGATGATGGTCTTCGGTCCAGCGGAGAAGTGCGGGCTGGCGAAGAGAAGCTCGATGATCGGGTACCATGTCCTGCTCAGCGCGCGGAGCTTGGTGCGGACGTCGAGCGGGAAATCGGTCCTGGCGTTCATGATGCGGAGCGGCCCGTCGCGCGGATCCATCCACTGGCTCTGGGGCGCATTGTGGATCTCGGTGAACTCCTTGGCGAGGGCCTCGCTCGAAAAGGTGGGGCTGCGTGACTGGCTGACGCGGTGGAACTGAGGCGCCATGTTGTTGAGCATGACCGCCGTCAAGTCTTGGTCCTTGAAGCTTGCAAAATGCGTTTGCCTCGTGGATGCTAGAACTGGCCGAGGGAAGTTGCCGATCCATCGTCTGCACGTGTCGCGCTTGTGCGGGGAGGACTGAGAGGCTGGTGGGGCATCGCATGAGCTGCTGTCAGCCCGCCGTGGCTTGATTCTCGGAGAAGCTGAAGCCATGCCAACCCAAGAGTCACTGGCACCCATCGCTGAAGCTGCTGAGCTGGACCCACCAGCGGTAGAGGATCACTGGAGAAGCTTAATGACGTCGTGGTGCTCTTTCAGCTGCGCATGGAAGGATTGGGTGTGCGCCGGCTGTGCCGATATCCCTGCGGTGTTCTCATCGATGCGTTTGTTCGCAGCGCCCGTCAAGATGCCGAACTGCTGAGCGAGGCTGGACTGCATCGTGTTGCCAAGCTCCTTGCTTTGTGCTGTGACGGTCTGCTCGGGAGCTGACTGCAGATTCGCGACCAGGGGGTCCATGCCGCCTTCAACAATGGCTGATAGTGGCTGAGGGAAGGCGACTGCCAGCTCTGAGAAAACGGGGGCTGTGGGGAGTCTGATTGACGAAAGGAATTGGCCTCCTGTCGGCCGAAGGAAGCTCGAGCCTTGAGCCGAAAGGGCGACGGAGGAGGAGGAGGAGGAAAAGGAGGAAGAGTTAGCAGCAACTGCTCTCTCATTCCGCCGCCCAGGGGGCCAATCTGAAGAATTTCTGTTGCTGCCGCGTCATCCAGACGGCGCCGCAGCCCAACCCTGTTCTTCGCGGGCGGCGTCATGGGCCACGCGACGTGGCGACGACACAAGTGCGGCACGCCGCCACCAAAAATCCCCCGCCGCCACCACTCCCTCATGATACTCGTCCTCCTCTGTGCCCCGCCCTCCTCGTGCTCCACTCAAAAACCGTCACGCGCAAGTGCCAGCATCGGCGGCGAGCGAGGGGAGGAAGTGGGAAGGAAGAGGCCTTTTCAGAAAACGGCGGGATTTCTCAGGAACCCTCACGCCTTCTGACATGTTTTTTGCACCTCTGGGGAGGTTTTGGCAACTTCTGAGAAGGCCAGGGGACTCCCGAGTCTTCTGAGAAAGCTTGCCCCTTGTCACTCCCCCCCGGGCTCGCCACCGAAGACCCCCTCTGGGGAAACCAGAAGGCACCGATACCGCTACTCCCAGGACCTCTCCCGAGGTACGTCCTGACCAGGATTGCGAAGCGAATCCAGCGGTGGCGACGAGGGCCTCTCATCTCAGGAGGCCCAGAGAGGGGGAAACGAGAGAGAAGCACCATGTTGGGTACCCTTTTTCCTCCTCCGACCCTCGCCCCAGACCCCAGGTTGCTCATGTTCCGCGCACCGCGCCCCGCGATGCGCGGCAACCTCCGAGAACCCCACGCCCTCGCCCAGCCGCCCCTCCCCTTCGAGAGGGGCCTCCTCCGAGAACCCCACGCCCTCGCGCTACCCATCCCCCCTCGAGAAGGGCAGCCCGCCCCCTCCCCCCTCCCCCTCCGCCCCCTCGAGAAGGGCGGTCCCCTCCCCCCCCGCGCCGCCGCCTCTCCCCTTCGAGAAGGGCGCCCCACCCCCTCGCGCCGCCGCCCCCCCCCTCTCCGCCCCATCCCGCAGGGCAACGACAGGGGGGGGACTCTCCCAGGGAGACCGGCGTTGCTGTGGCATCGGCGGTACACATCGCCGATGGATCGGCGATCGCGAAAGTAAAGGCCACGTGCGAACCCCACCCCACCACCCCACGATTTCTGAGGGGGGACGTGGGGTTCACGTCGCTTGGGAGGTCCCGAACGAAGTGGGCCCCACCTCCTCCCCCCAGCAATCGCGGGGCGGTGAGGTGGGGCTCGAATGTAGCCTCCTAGAGGCATGGGCTCTCGGGCCCCACGTCGGCGAGGCATGGGCTCTCGGGCCCCACGTCGGCGATCCATGGGCGATTGGGGATCGCTGCGCTCCCCCCATGGGCCTTTTGAATTTGTTCCCCCACATCCTGAGTGGGGTTCTTTCTCAGAACACCCTCTCCTTCTCCTCCCCCTCCTTCTCCTCCTCCCTCCTCCTCCACCATGCCTACCCTCTCATACCAGCCCTACCATGCCATATCATACCAATACCATACCTATCATACCACACCTACCATACCAGACCGACCATACCTACAATACCAGCCCCACCATACCCAACCATACCTGCCACATCATGCCCTACTATAACATACCATACCATACCATACCATACCATACCATACCATACCATACCATACCATACCATACCATACCATACCATACCATACCATACCATACCTTACCAAACCATATCATACCATACCTACCATACCATACGATGCCATACCATACCTACCATACCACACCACACCTACCATACCACAGCTACCATACCATACCTACCACTCCAGGGAGGCCACTCCCACTCCCACTCCTCCAGGGAGGCCCCGCCTGAGCGAGGAGGGTATTCGCAAGCCATATTATGTATCAGGTTTCGTGCCCCTCCCACTCCTCCAGGGAGGCCCCGCCTGAGCGAGGAGGGCATTCGCAAACAGTGTTATTTATCAGGTGTCGTGCCCCTCCCACTCCTCCAGGGAGGCCTCGCCTGAGCGAGGAGGGTATTCGCAATCATGTTATTTATTAGGTTTCGTGCCCCTCCCACTCCTCCAGGGACGAACGTGCTTCCTGAACAGCCGTCGTCTTCCTCCCTGCTGCTCCCCCTCCTTGCCTTGGTCTGCGATGGCCCTTCCATTCAGATTGCTATGATTTGCCTTATTGACCCCGCGAAGCCCTCAACGTCCGTATGCTGGGAACTCCGTTAGCATGTTTGTGTAAGGCAAAACCTCTCTTGAATTCAAAGAAGCAGCTTTTTGAACTCAACAAATCCGTAAGTGAAAACGGTACCGATACCGCTGCTCCACGGGCCCTTCCCCTGGGGTGCGTCCTGACTGGCGTCTCGAGGCGAATCGAGTCTTGGCGACGAGGGAGGAGCAGCGGCATCGGGACCTCGCTCCTCTGATGCTCTCCCCGGCCCAGGCCGCGGCGCGTGAAGCGCGATCATCTCCGCGCGCCCCGCGGGTGATCCAGGGCAGCCCTTCTCCCTTTTCTGGAGCGCCATCGGTCCTGGCTGCCCTCGACGGCCCCGACGGCAAGCTCGTGATGCCCGGACTCCTGGCTGCACAAAGTGGCTGCCCGCGTCTCCACCGCGGTCCTGCTGCCCTGTGCTCGGGTGCTGCCAGGAGGTGGCCCTGGCCCTCAAGAAGTGCCCCCGCGGCGGGTCGCCTCGGGCCTGCCTCGGCCCCTGGGGTCCCGCGACAACCAAAAGAACCACCCGGGATGAACACCTGGCCCCCGGGAAGGCATCCAGACCTCTGGGGAGCCACGCCGTGGGACAGAAATCATGACGTCGGGGGTCTGGGAAAGGTGTCCCCAGCTCTTCGCGCCATCTTGGACCCACTGGGGGCCCCCCGAGCCTCGTGGGGGGGTGCCCTGGAGGTGGCCTCCAGGCCTCTGGAGGCGATGGCCTCCAGACTGAATGCCATCGCCTCCGCAAAGATCCCGGGGACACCTCTTCGGGAGCGGCCAAGAGGGGGGTGTCCAAGAGGGGGGGGTGCAAATCATGACTGGCGGCATGTGCGCGGCCCAGCGGGGGGGCCGGGGACGCAGTGAAATAAGAAGAGGCGCCATGAAATCTGGGGAAACATCATGCCCCCCGCCATGAGATCCCCCCCCCCCTAGTCGTCACCCCCCTCCTTTCCGCCAACAACCTCTGGGGCCCAGGGACGCCCTTGACAGCACCCGGCGCCTGCAGGATGGCGCCCAGCACGCTGGGTCTGGGCTGTGCGGGGGCGCTCTCCGGGTCCTCCTGTGGTCGGGGGAGAAGTCGAGACGAACGATTTCGCGTCATCTCGCCATCGCTTGGACGTCCATTCCCTGCGCATGTTTCGGTGTCGTGCGTGCAGGTTTTCGCAGCGTGAGCAAGACTGCTCCTCGATGGCCCCTGCCAGTAAAAAATGCACGCGTCCGAGCGATGCCACGTCATTTCGTCCGAGCTTCATTTCGTCCACTCCGATTCGCCTGGACGACGCGAAAGAGGACGAAGCGGAAGCGGACGAAGCGACAGCTCACCGTCGAGACAGCGTCGGCCCTTTCTGCACTCTTCGGCCCAGCCTGGGCCTCCTGCAGTCTGCTCGCCGCCCTGGCCGCGTCCGCCTCGAGCAGAAGCATGCCACGACGGACCCCGGAACGGCTCAGGGGACGGACCCTCAGAGGACTCGGGCCGGGCCGGAGAGCTGCCGCTGTCTCGACTGGCCCTCCTCCGACTGTCAGGGAGCGGACAAGGGGGGGGAAGGGGGGGGGCAGGGGACTGGCTGAGGCGGAGAACATACTCTCAGAAGATTCGGGCCGGGCCGGAGAGCTGCCGCTGTCTCAACTGGCCCTCCTGCGACTGTCAGGGAGCGGACAAGGGGGGGGGGGCGGGGCAAGGGGACTGGCCGAGGCGGAGAACATCGGCCCGGGATCGGCAGCGGCAGGCCCAACGCCGAGACGGCGAGCTCCTGGGCAGGAGGGGGCACCCCGAGCCCCCATCGGCGAGGGCTGGGCGACTGGTGGTCGGGGGTCCCCCCCCCCCCCGGAGCCGGTTCGGCGGCCCGGATCCTTGTTCGTGAATATGGACGCGAAGAAGGTGCGGCGCTTCCCCGCGTCCTCCTGCGGCTCCTCCTGGCCCTCGGGCGCCTCGCTGCGCGAGAAGATGGAGGCGAAGGTGCGGCGCTCCGCCGGGGCCTCCTGCTGCTCCTGCTGCTCCTCCGGGCCCTCTGGCTCCTGCCTGCGTGACAGGATGGAGGCGAAGAAGCTGCGGCGCTCCGGCGCGGCCTCCTGCGGCTCCCCCTGCCCCCCGCCGCCCTCGCCGTGCAGGATGCTCCCGGCGCTCCGGCCGCGCGCCAGCGCGTCGGCGCCCGGGCGGTCGTCGGCCTCGAGGTCCTTGGGGTCCTCGGCGGCCCTCTCCTGCCAGACACTGCGGAAGGGTGTCACCACGAGGGGGGGGGTCACCGCCTCCTCCTTCTTTTTTGGGGGGGGGGGCCGCGCGATGGACAGTTTGGCCGAGCGGTCTAAGGCGGTGGCTCACCGCCTCCTCCTTCTTAGACCGCCCGATGGCGTGTGCCATGGCGCTCCCTCGGATGGGCCCGAGGGTACCTGCCAGGACGCACCCCCGGCTGGCTGGGCCCGCCGGGACCCCCACATGCTTCCAGCGGGGCGCCCAAGGGCATCTAACAGAGTCCTCGATCACCCATCTGCCCTTCTCCTCGATCCTCGATCCTCAGAAGAAGGTGGAGAGCCCCCTGGTGGTGATCACCCTTGGCACTGTCTGGTCCTTAGGCTGCCACATGCTGATTACTCCCCGCTTTGCTGGGGCTGGGGCTCTCAAGCCGCTGCACTGCTCACACAAGTCCTCCGAACACTGACGGCAATTCCACCTGTTCGGGTGCTGCTAGAAGTGCCCCTGGCCCAAGGTGTGCCCCCAGCTTTTCGCTCCATTTTGGAGCCCCTGGGGCCCTCTGGGCCTCGTGAGAGGTGTCTTGGAGGCCGTCTGGGCCACTCCGAGAATCCTGGGGGTACCTTGGGCTGGGGGTACTTCTAGCAACACCCGACCTGTAGCTTCCGGAATTCTCCTTCCAATTGTGGCAGGTGTTCCTGTTCTTGCACCCCCATCCGTACTTTGTGTTATAAGGGGGCCCGCCGTAGTCGCTCCACACCATGTACTGATTACACTGTGGACACTCAGGGCGCTTTTCTTCTTCGTCGTCATCTTCGCCATCAGCGTCGTCGATTACCTTGGCCTGGTCTTCAGGGTTGAAAGACACAGCCCTCGATGTCTTCTTGACCCTCTTCTTCTTCTTCTTGAGCTGCCCTGCCCCCACTTCTGGGTCGGGGTCGTCGACGCCCTCCTCCTCACGGACACTCACAACCACCGCATCAATCGAGGTGGCGGCGCCGCCTGCCGGGGTACCCTCGGAGGGTCCCGATTTTGACGCCAACGTCGGCTCGACTGGCTCTGCCTGCTCTTCCCGCTCAATCGCCGTGTCCGCGCCGCTGCTGGTGAGGGGCTCGCCCTGACCCTTTGTCCTGCTCGCCCTACACATCCTGGCGAATATGCAGACACAACAGCAGCAGATGAGCAACACGCCCAAGGGCAATAGGACGCCACGCTCCCAAGAGAAGTCTTGCGGCGAATTACTGGCAACTGCGTCCTGGCCAGATTCCAAAGGCTCAACCATCGTAGTTGTATCATCATTCGCATCGTCATCCGTGGACACCTCGGCTGGTCCGTAAGGCAAGACACGTGCGAATTGTGAATAAAGCTGCTACCACGTACTACCACACATCTTAACGCAGGTAAGCTGATGCTGAAAAGGTGTACCTAACCTAAATGACACAAGCACGCAACACCCTGCGTCGTGCCATTCTCTCCAATGAGCTGATGCGAATGGCTTCACAGTGCTTTCAGTGTGCCTCTACAGTGTGGTTGGCTACGTGGTTGCCTGGTTATGCTTTATGCTCGTTGCGAATGTGGTTGACGAATTGCACGTACGCGTGAGGTTTCTTTCGTACCATGTGCTGCCATACGTGTCTGGCTGATCGTGCAGACTCGTACGATTTTTACTTTTTCGCTTTGCTTGCGCTTCTTTTCGAGGTGCCTGCTTTGAATTATGAATGCTTGTCGCTTGCCTGCTCATGCCCTTGCCTATCCGGTGCCCGCCCGTCGGAGCCCGTGGGCGCCTCTTGGGCGCCCCGTGCGCTGGGTGGGTCGGCCAAGGTTTCGCCTGGCGCCCGCCCGTGGGCGCCTCGTCGGCGTGTCGTGCGCTGGGCGGCCGCACAGCTCGCACCGCACTGCCTGCACCACGCAGCTCGCACCACACGGCCTGCACCGCACAGCTTACACCACGTGGCTTGCAGCGCGCAGCCTGCACCACATGGATTGCACCGCGCGCCCCTTCACCTTCCTCTGTAGCTGTACACATACACCAGCGTTCGTTACGAATCGGCCCCCCGGGTCTGCTTTTTGAGGGAGCCTTGTGGGATGACAACAGTGCCCCGTCTATTAAGCCGGCTTTGGACATGCGCAGCACGGGGGAATGTGGCTTATTACGCCGATGTTCTGCATCTTTCTTCATACACATACTTGCGTCAACCTACGCCCAATCTTCATGTTTCACAACCTGCGGAAATTCATAATCAATAGATCACCACGATCACCGACTATCAAGACAGGGAAGTTCACCATCTACGAAAAAACGACGATACCTGCACTACTCCTTCCACGAGACCCCCCCCGGGCCAGCGCTGTGACTTCATTCGAGAGGTCAATGATCCAATCTTCATTTTTGAAATTCGTAAACCGGGCCACGACCTACGAATCACTCACAGTCACCGTGTCGCTGCCGTCGCACCCGCAAGCGTTATCATGGCGTCGCCATCGCAGTTACTACCGCCCTTATCAACATTGCCACCTTAAAAAATGCATTCACAATTTGGCCACGAGGGGTTCGGATAATGAGGCCCCCCCACGACAGAGCGGTGTCAGGAATACTAAAGCGCGAAGAGGGTGAGTGCACCAGAGAGAATTTGTCAGGGATGTCCGCCACCTTGCTTGAAGCGGTTGGGCGGTTGGCGTATGTGTGTGTGTGTGTGTGTGCGTGTGTGTGTGTGTATGTGTGTGTGTTGCGCCTTTCCTTTTCCATTATTTCGCTTCTTGCGAACCATCGAAACCAACATCGTTGTATCACTTCCAACACGTCCCTGGGCGTTTCGCCTTCCGAAAAAAAAAAAACACTCCCAAAAACGAGGGTCCGGGTAGCCAGGTCCGTTGGCCCTCCCCTGGGGCGCGCCCCCCGCCCTCAAGGCCCCCTCATGGCGCCCGCTCGAGCACGGTGGCGGAATCGCGCGGCATGCATTACACAGGTAGGAGTAGGAGTCGAGTGGCGTTGGAGTGGGGCAGAGCATCGTCGAGTGGCGTCGAACAGAAAGTGTCAGGGTAGGCATGGTATGGGCAGGGTTGGTAATCACACGAAGTAGGATAGGGGGTAGGGTCGAGTAGGGTAGGTACAGTAGGGCCGGGCAGAATAGGATATAGTACAATAGGGTAGCGTAGCGTAAGGCAGACTGTCGTACAGCAGCAGTGAGTCTGAAATCGACCAGAAGTATCATATAATAGGCTGAGTGGGACTAGGCGTAACGTGGAGTAAAGTAGGCATGGGCAACGTCAAAATTATCCAAGTCAAGGGATTCAGAAGGCCCCGCCTACTCCCATCCTCCCTCCCACAACATGAGCATCGCTTGGGACACACTTTGAGTTTGGCATTGAAGCGCGCTCCCACTTCGCAAACGGAAGGCGCTCGCGCGCGGTTCCGCTTCCGACGACCGCGCGCGAGCGGTCCGGCGCTCCCGGTCCCGCTCGCGCGCGGTCCCGCGCGCGAAGAGAAAGCTACGCGGGCCGCGCAGGGGCGGGAGCGGCAAACATGCCGATGGGCGCGGCGAAGGCGACGCATGCGCCGCGCTGACGCAACATTGCCACTTTCACTCGCGAACTGCGCGGCGTTTGGGCGAGGTCGGTAGTCTGCCTGCTCTCGCGCGGCCCCACTGCCGCTGTTGCTTTCGCGCGCTTCGGCAACGAACCGTGCGCCACGCCCGCGCTGGAACGCCACTTCCGAAGCAGCTGCGCACGCAGATTTGGCGAGGGCGACCAGTCGCCCACTCGCGCGGGCCCGCCCCGCAGCTGGCGAGCGGCAGGTGTGCGCGCCGCGTCGAGGCACGACTGCCGCTTTTCGGGCGAAATCGGAGCGGCGCCCGGCGAGCTGTTGGCCCGCTCGCGCGTCGACGAGCGCACACATGCGAAACAGGTGCACGGAGCCCCAGCTGCAGCACCACTCCCTGGAGAAGCGGAGAGCGGCGTCGGGACGAAAGCGACATCTCGGCCTTTCGCGTGGGATGCGCGCCCCATCCTACTCCCGCCACGCACTGTGCAACATGGGCGACTGAATGTCAATCTTGAAACGATGTATTGTGTTTTAACGGTGCGATGGACTGGCCCGGATTGGGTCGCCATCGGCTGGCTATGTGGCGTAATGGGTGTATGTGCTCACAGGTACCAGGGACTGAGCAGATTAGGCCAGGGTCGGATAGACTAGCGAAAAGTAGTGTCAAGCCAGGTGCGCAAGCGTCATGTCTGACGCCCTCCCCCTCCCCCATCCCTTACCGTTGCACAGGCCCCCTCTCTACTCGCACGTGCCGATGTCACATAGAGCAATGATCCCGAGAGGGTAAGCGATGCATGGTACAGCACGACGCAGCATGGCATTGCGCCGAGAACGCGACTCATTTCGACAACACGGTCAAAAGGAAACCAGCAATGACACAAGACGGGAATCCACATGAACGTGTGGAAACCGGGAAGCGCAAAAGGAGACCAACGCTGCGGCGGGAACACGAATTCGAAGGGCTTGAACTGCGGAAGTGAAACCAGCACTGCAGTGGGAGCGCGATTTGGACGGAATGGAAGCGAGGAAACGAAGCCAACGCTGCAGCAGGAGCACCATCTGGAAGAGCCGAAACATTGAAATGAGGTCAGCTCTACGATGGGAACATGATTTGGAAGGGCTGGGAAGGGAAACTTGGAGCCAACGCTGTAGCTGGAGCGCCATTGTGGAACGACTGAAAACGTTCGGATTGAAAAACACACATATTAAAGATCAACTCGGCGCAATGCTTTGTAAAAGCAATACGCGGAGGAGGACAAGACAGCTCACCGACGTCTTCGGGGGAGAGAGGGGTGTATTATTCATATTGCGTACTTGTAAAACAGAGTACCGCAGAGCAGGGCATATGATAGGGCAGAATCGGGTATACTAGAGTAGAGAAGAGAAGTGTAGAGCAGAGTCGATGAGTTTAGATCAGAACAGAGGAGGAGTGGAGTAGAGTAGGAGTATAATATAACAGATACACAATAGAAACGGTTAGAGTAGAGTATGATAGGGTAGGGTCGGGTCGAGTAGAGCAGGGTAGAGAAGAATAGGGAGGATGGTAGTGGAGTCGGGTAGGGTGGAGCAAAATAGAGTGGAGTATAGCCCATTCCAGTCCGGTCTACGTCAGTCTATTGAGCTTTAATCTTCTGATCTATGTACATATATATATATATATATATATATATGCTGAGGACAGCGCTGGCGGATCTATTAGAATTTGGAGTCCCAGATGCAAGACAAACCAAGCATTGCCACACAGAGCCAATTCGAATTGGAAGCCAGTGAGATCCCAATCGGGATCCAATTGGAATCCTCTGAATATGTGATATCCTCCGTTCGACTTGGAATCCACTCAGAATATAATTGGAATTTGATTTGGATCCTCTGGATGTGGGATATCCCGAATCCAAGTAGAATGCAAGGAGAAACCACATTGAATCCAAGAGGAATCGAGCAGACACCTGAGAGCCAATGGAATTCAACTGGACCCGAATCGGATTCAGATCGGAATTCAATCATAATTGAACAGACACTATATCCAGAAGATCCCTGTTGGATCTGGAAAACAAACCAACACGAATTCATTAGAAATTGAGCAGACCATGGCTACAGAGCGGCTCTGTTCGATTCGAATCGGAAAGCCAATCGGGATCCAATGGAAATGACGCAGACTCCAAACTCGCAACATCCAATGCGATTTGAATAGGAGCCCGGCCAGAATTCAATCGGAATGCCGCCGCGCCATAGTATACTCTCGATTCCATTTTTGGGATCACGAAATCACATCATCACTGCGCTCGGGCTCCAACATATGAAACGGTAGACCCCTGGGGCGGGGGGTAGCAAATTCATGTAGATATAGAAATAAAGAAGTATACAGAGGAATATCAAGACAGAAAGAGAGAAAGAGAGAGAGAGAGAAAAGACAATATATATAGAGAGAGAGAGAGGGCGAGATGTATACACGAGATGCCCGCCGCGCCATCCGCCCGGTGGCCTCGGGACCCTCCCAGGCAAAGTTTCTGGTTTCCGTATTCAGGGCTTCTTCAATTTCTCTAGGCGGCACCAGGACCATATAGTCGTCGTGCTATCATAAGGAACGCTGGATGAGGAACGAAGGGTTTTTCTGGCCCCTGCGGGCTTGGGCTTCGAATAGGTGTCTAGACCTAGATCTCAGTAGCGGCCCGAAAACTAAAGCTCCTCGGGATCCCGAAGAATTCGTTTTCAGCGCCTTCACTGTGCCAAGACAAAGTCTGAGAAACCAGGAGGAAGATCGAAACACTTGGGCGTCAAACAACGTTGTTAGGACTCTGGAGGCCTCCGGGATCCTGCTAGGATTCCAGGATACATGTTGAGAAAGAAATGCGAGCAAGACGAGGAAGATGATCCCACCACTCAATGTCTGGAAATTCAAAATAATTCCGCATTTAAAAATCGCACTCCGAAGGCTGAGGATTTCCCGACGACAAACTTTCCAAAATAGAACTCTGGATGCTACGTGCCGTGCTGAAGGGTGCGCTCTGGATCTATACATCGCGCCGGAGCGCAGCTCTTGCAGCCCAAGATGCCTTGTCCGCGCCCCCGGGGGAGGCACACGCCGAGGTGAGAGAACGTACTGGCTTATGCATGTTGTCTGTGGCTGGGTGTGCAAATGTACATCCGGGCGCCAGCCGACATGGTGAGTCGGGCCTATCCCTCTACAGGATGATTGTTCAAAAAATAGTAGAACAACAATTGGGGACGATTCTGTCGACTCTGTTTTGCTATGTCTGATGATTCTTGACTCTTTTTCATTTTGTTTGTTTCGTCTCGCACTCCGCCTGCAGGAGGACATGCCCGACCTAGTCGAAATGGTGATCGACTGGAGCCGCATGGGGGATGCCGTGGACGGCGTGTGGGGCGAGCGCGCCCTGAGTGGGGCCGGACCTTGGGCCCCAGCTGGCCATCACTCGGACGTCCATTCCCTGTGTTTTTTTTTTTTTCGGTTTCGTGCGTGGATTTTTCGCGAAATGATCAAGGATGCTCCTCGATGGTCCTCGCCGAAGGAAAAATGCACACGTCCGAGCGATGCCAAGCCAGGAGTGGCCCCCAGAACCTGGTGCTCCCCGCTCTCGCCCCCGAGAGCAGCGCCGCCGTCGGAAACGCTGCCCGCGCGCACGTGAACTCCTCGACTGGAGCTTCGATGCCAGGCTCCCCGCTGCGAGCTGCACCGTGCCAGTCGCGACGCTTCGTGCAGAGCGCCCACGTTGGCCTCTGGAAGAGCTCGGGGGCAGACCGATCCAGGGCCCCCGTGTCCAGATGCAGTACGAAGCAATATCTCGGACCACCTTCTCTGACCACACCTCTTGACCCCCTGCCTCCTCCTCCTCCTCCTCCTCCTTCATCTCCTCTGCCCCTTCCTACAAAAAAGAATCGGGGCCACAATCACAGTCGGGGTGCCCACGCTGGAAGCCGTCATCGTAGGAGCAGAAGTAATCACCGATTCACCACTCCAATCAGCAGCAGTCATAGCAATGACAGTATGGGTCGTGATAGCGACTGCAGCTGCAGCAATCGTGGTGGAAAGGTCTTCGGCACCACTTTCGTCCTCGGCCTGAACAGTGAAGTGGGTCGTCACAGAAACTGCGGCTGAAAGCTGGCGGACAACTGCGGAGAGCCGACGGGCATTTACAGTGAACCCCGTAATCGTAATGTTGGAAAGAGAAACACCCAGAGCAGCGGACAAACCCGTCGCTTTAGCATCCTTGTAAACAATGGAAGACATGAGGTCGGACGAAGTCGCGCCGGACGGAATAGTTTCATACGCTGTGTAGTCGGCAGTAACCGCAAATTGTTGAGTGGGAGCCTGCCGAATAGAACATACAACGATACTTGCACGCTGCATGTTGCAAGATCCGCCGCCGTGCCGCAAGGCGCGAAGTGGACTCGATCTCCAGTCTTTGCAAACTCTCTGTACGGAGCACTGCCAATCATCCCTCAGGGGCCCGAACCCTGGAATTTCGAGAGGTTCTGCGCGCGTCAGGACGCTTGCGGAGTGTGCCGCGTGATTTGCCCGAGGCCTCGGGAGCGTGGTTCGGAATCCAAACTTCCAACATGCGTCAAAATGATCCCGCGGAATGTGCCGCGTGAGTTGCCCGAGGCCTCGGGAGCGTGGTTCGGAATCAAAATTTCCAACATGCGTCAAGATGATGGCCATCTTGGGGCTCTCACGGGCCCCCTTGAGCTGTCTTGGAGACCCTGAAGGGGCTGGCCCAGCCAGCAACCAGGAGGGGGGGGGGGGCTTCCGGCAGAGGTGACAGAGGGGGGGGGTACCTTCCGGAGCTCGAAAAGAAAAGGAGGAGAAGGGAGGGGGGGTCCGGAGAGGGAGGTGCCAGGGGGGGGGATGGGGGTAGCTTTCGGTTTCCGATTGGCCTCTGGTCTGAGTGGCGATTCAGCTCCCACCTCTCTTTCAAATCATGTACCTCAACTCCCAATCAGCGAAAAACGTAGGACACCATGAGACGGCTCACCAGCCTCACGAGTACACCATTATCATGTGGAAGAAAATTGATGAAACTGGGTGCTCATTGTTTCGGCGCAGTTCCAACCGATGGAATCAACATACCGAGATGCTCAATTGGCATTGTCGTCGATACCGACAACGTCATTTATGCATTCCAATATCTATGTGTTTATGTATACATGACTTGCATGCAATGTTCGCATTGCGGTTTTAATTTCCCACGGGAGAGCAATGAGACAACCCATGGGGTAAGCCACGGGACAAACCACCAGACAACCCGCGGGATAACTCACGAAACAAACCACGTGACGGGACAAGCACGGGGCAACCCACAAAACAAATCTCGAGACAACCCACAGGAAAATCACGGGACAAGCGCGGGAAAACACGCGGAGCAACCCGCGGGAGAAGCACGCGACAATACACGGGACCACCAAGGGGACAACCCACTAAACAACCCTTGGGACCAGCACTGGACAACCATGGGACAACGGCGGGACAACCCATGGGACACGGAACAACTGCGGGACAACCCACGGGACAACCGCATGACACACCATGTGACAACCCCGTGCCCCGCTGCGAGACACTGGCGGGCAAAGCATTTTGCCCAACTTGACCCTAAGGCCCTGGACGACACATCGCCGCCCTGGCGCAACGTCGACTCGCCCGCAAGCGAGACACGAACCGAAACCCACATCCATTTTCCGGTGAGGCCCACTTCTTTCTCACCTCCAACCTTCGATCACATTCGTTTACTCGCAATTTCGTTACTTAAAACTCCAAAGCGGCCCACGAAGTCCCCAAGATGGCCCCCATGAGGGATCCAAGAAGATTCAAGAAGGATCCACGGAGGGCCCAAGAGACGGAACCCGTAGGGGCCTTTTTGGGCCCACCAATCCGTCCCAGATGCCGCCAAGAGACCCCAAGATGCCTCTAAGACGCCCTCAGGAGGCCGCAGAGACGCCTCCAAGAGGCCTTCCCAAATACCCCCAAAAGTGTCAGGTCAGGTTCTACCGATCACGGGAAACCCAAGAAACAACCCACGGAACAACCCTCGGGAAACCCACGGGACAACCCACGGGACAATCCGTGGGACAACCATCGGGACAACCCGCGGGACAAATATCGGAACAACACAGAGGACAACACACGAAAAGACCCGCGGGACAACCACGGGAGAACCCGCGGGACAACCACGGGACAACCCACTGGAAAACCCACGGACAACCCGCGGGATAACTACGGGACAGCCCACGGAACAACCAACGGGGCACCCGCGGGACAACCACTAGACAACTCACATGACAACCACAGAAGACTCACGGGACAATCCACGGGATAGTCCACAAGAAAACCGGTGAAACAAACCAAGAGACAACCGCGGGACCACCTCTCAACGGGACAAAAAGGGCCAAACACTGCCCAAACCAGACCCATCATGGCCGGCGAGCGCGCAAAGACCCCCCCTGCAGTTTCAAGACGGCTTCACGACAGCCGAAGATGGCCAGAGCCGCACGCAGACGGCCCACGACCAGAAATTACTCATAATCTGTGGCTGCGGAATCGCTTCAATTTTCGTGACTTCTGCGACCTCCCATTATACGGAGGTGCTCTTGGACCCTCCAACGGCTGCCCAAGAGCGCCCTTGGAGGGTCCAAGATCACCTCCGTAGGAGCAGCCTGCGACGGCCCGTGACCTCCCAAAGATGGCCCACGTGCGCGTCGAATTGTCCCCGGCGGCGTCCAAAAGTCCCCCCCGCCATCGCAAGAAGGCCGACGAGGCCCCAGTGTGACCCCAAAGGCGGCCCCAAGAAGGGAGAGGAAGTGGCCGAGGATGAGGACAAGAAGGGCGATGTGTCCAGGAAGGGGTATTTCCCACCTCCACCTTCATTGTTCCCTACATCCCAACATCCCCGTCTCTTATCATCTTTCCTCGTTCCCGTCCTAAGATGGCAAAGGTGTGGCCCACTGTGGAGCTCACATGGCCTCGAGATGGACTCATGTGGCCGAAGATCGTCTCCCGTACTGCCCAGAAGAAGCCTCAACATTGCGCAAAGACGACCGACGGGCCCCCCAAATACTCCAAAGGGCCCCCAAGCACATGGAATGCCAAACGTGCCACGTCCAGATGGCATCCAGGCGGCGCCTCGGCATCCAGGCTCGCAAAAGTGACAGGATCTCGCCCCGGCGCTGGTCACTCCTGGCCGTCTCTGGTGCCAATCGCGCCCGACTCAGGACAAGGCGGGCCCTGTCTCGAAAACAATGGCAGGAAGGGGTTCCGACTCGTCCCTGGTTAGAAGAACAAGAAGGAAAAGAAGAATAATCATCGGCATGATGTCCTGTTCCCTGCGCCAGCTTTAGCCCCCGACAAATAATTCCCCATTTCCTAAACGGGTTTTCGCCATCACTGCGCATCCTTCGCGCAGGAGCCTCACCCCCTTCCCCATTCACAATCGCCATCATCATCACGACTACCACCATTCATCATTCATCATCAGCATCAGCGTCGTCATCACCGGCATCATCATCATCATCATCATCAACATCATCATCACCTTCATAAACAGAATCAGCACCATCATTATCGTTATCGCCATCATCATCATCATCAGCATTGGCATCATCACCATCACCATCAACAGCATCAGCATTTTCACCATCAGCATCGTCATCGTCAGTACCATCGTCATCGCCATCATCATCAGCAACATCAGTAGCACCCCCATCACCATCATTACCAACATCATCGTCGGCAACATCATCAACATCGTCGTCACCATCAACCTCATCAACATCGCCATCAGCATCCTGACGCTGGGTGCTCATTTCTCAACCAATGCTTGCGGAGACCGGTCTAGCACGCGCATTCGAATGTGCCCCAGTTGTTTTGGAGTCGGGAGGGTTCTGGGTGAAACAAAACGCCTGCAGAGCGGAAGCGCGAAAGCTGAGGCCAGGTCGTTCCCGTGGGGCTGAAACATGCCGCTGGCTGCTCTTTTCCAAACCACCGATTCGCGGAGAACAAGTGAGCACGCACAGTCGAACTTGTCCACTCCCAGACGCCCCGCAATCAGCAGTGGCATGGCGAATTTATTCGACGAGAGATGGCCACGAGCGATACGCGCGGCAAGTGGGATCCCACTACGCTGAGCCAATACATTACCCTCCGCGACGATGCCGCGGTCTTTGTCACACAAGTTTGGGAGACCATTTTGGCGCCCTGGGCTGCGTAGACGATTGTGATGGCGAGACCATTGCGGTGCTCCTCGAGCGACAAAGAAGGATTGGCATTGGGTACCTGACCATAGTCCTGCTACGAGGCCTGATCAGATCCCCCAAACAACATGTGAAAGACATCGTCACGCAACAAATCATATCTGAGTCCCTGTGCAATGTCGATGCACAAGACTGCCGCGTTGCGAGCTGCCAGCGCCCGCGCCAGGCTGCCTGATCCAGAGAACAGGTCTAAGAAGACGCGCCGCAATGCTGGCTGCGGCTGCGCGAGAGCCTGGCGCAGCGCTCGGAAGGGCCTGGCACCGCGCTCCACGACGCCCGCGATCTCCGCCTGCGACGCCACAGGGGGCTCGCCGAGCTGCAGGGGGGCCCGCGCGTGCTTGTCGTAACGGGCCACGCTGCAGGAGCTGCGCCAGTGCCCGCGCTGTGGCACCTCTTCGAGAGAACGCGCCTGCACGAGGCGGTCGTGGCTGGCCCCCCCGAGCGGGCCCCCGGCCGCTCCGCCGCGCCCGCGAAGGCGCAGTGCAACTGTCTGGAGCTGATGTCGAACAAGCACTCCTGGCGGTCGCGGGGTCTCTGGAACACGCGCAGCGCTAGGATCAGCGCCGGGTGCCGCTCGAGGTCGAGCAGCGCGGTGAGGTCGAACTCGCGGGTCTCGGACGGCCGCCCGAGCTCCTCCACGTGGACGCAGAAGGCCCGGCAGGTCCTGGGCCCCTCCCGGCCCGCGGGAGGGGCGAGCTGCGCGACCGTGAGGCTCGGCAGCTCGGAAGGCCGCGCGTAGGTCTCGAGCGACGCCATGGCGGCCGGCGCCCCCGCCGGGCACGAGGGCAGACCGCGCCAGCGCCGGGGCAGCTCCCCAAGGAAGAAGGGGGCGGCTGCGCGACGGCCCCGCGGCGCGTTGGGCCTCGCCCGCTCCTGCTGCAAGGGGGCGGGCTCGGGGGTCAGGCCCGGCAGCCGCTGCCGCGCCTCAGCCCGGACCCTCGCCAAGCGGCTGGAGGCCTGGGGGCGCCCGGCCGGGCCAGAGGAGCCCCCGCGGGGGCCCCGCCCGCGCGCCGCCAGCTCGGGCGCGCCGGGAGCCCCCGCGGCCGCTCGGCCCAGCGCTCGCGCCGCGAGCTCCGGAGCGGGCGCCTCCCCCGACTGCGCGGTGCGTTGAAGCCGCCTGGGCCCGCGCTTCCCGCGCCGTCGGAGTCGGGCGCGGTCGGAGCAGCAACTGCGCCGCCAGGCGGTGGGCGGCATCGCGCGGACCCCTCCCGCGGGCCCCGAGGACCATGTCTGGGCGGAAACGCCCGACCGGCACCGTCCAGAGCGTTGCGCTCCGAGGGCGCCCAGCGTTCCACGCGCTTGAGCGCGCGCAGATCGCAGGCGCGTTGTCGCCCGACATCAAAACTCGAGAGTCGCGAACACTACAATCTCGCGAGAGATGTCGGACCGCCCACGTCCGGGCGCGAGCCTCCGGCTGGGCAGGAGACCCCAGGGCGCCCCCCCAGCGCCCGGGCGACTTCCCAGTCCATGTCAAAGAACGAGGTAAACACTTCCTCGAACTCCCGCAGACGCCCAAGCTCCAAGATCACACCCCCCGAAGCCTCCGACGCGCACGCCTCCTCCTCATGGCCTAGGGCCCGAGACCGAGGAGCCCCCGCAACGCTCAGGAGCACGCGAAACCGAGCTCGCGTTCGAGCCCGGCCGACGGCTGCCACTTCGCTAGGGGGGCAACGTACACTGCCGACCCCGAAACCCCAATCGGAGGCGTCGCACCCGAAGACGCGGCCCCGCCATGGGCGTCGCATACATGGTCAAGCGAGAGGAAGGAGCGCACGGATCCGACGGACTTGGCGACGCACAGAAAATCAAAGGGACTGACGGCGCACGTAGCTATCTTGCATGAACGCATAGACCTTCTCCATCACGCACAATAGCTCAGGGGCCACGGAGCAGAGAGCAGCGACGTGACCGAGGAACCTCTCCAATTCCTGACCCGCGACGCTGCGCCCGCCCCCCGATAGATAGCCAGCCGCGAGCTTCACCTTCCAGAAACAACAAGCCCTAGGTCGCCTCCCCCCGCGAGCCCCCAACGAAGTGAAGCCAATGAAGTCATGGTCTCCCGAGCTCCGTCTCCAACGACGACGCGAGCTCCTCCGCCCCCGCGACAGCCCCCCCGGCGACGACAAGGCCCACGCTCGCGCGCGCGAACTATCGATTGACCATCCGCGCAGCGACCCAGCGTCGCCCAGGGGCGGGAGAGGGGTCTTAACAATATTCCAAGGGGCCGTACCGCCCGGGCGTGGAAGCGGGCCAGCCCGCGATTCCGAGCCGCCCGCGGCATAGCAGCGACGAGGTCCGAGGACAGGCGAGCCGCGGGGGCCGAAGGCAGGCCGGAAAAACACCAGTGCTTGACGGGGGGCTCAAACTGGTAGTAGCAGTCGTCAGCGGCTCCTCCGTGCAGGACAGGAACAACGGGGGGCGCGCGCTCCAGATGGGCGAGGGCTCCAGGTGGATCTTTACGCCGCAAGTTGGGATAGCGCGTATCCCAAATCGAACGAGGGGCGCCTTCTTTCACACGAAAGGACATGTCATTCTCTTCGAGCCCATCCTCATTGGCTTCCAAAGCGCCAACATCCCCGTGCTCCGGAACGAACTCCCCGAAAAGTCTAGGCCGGCCACTCAAGACGGGGCCCAAGAAGAAGCTGCCACCAAACTCTCGCTTGCGCGTGGCAACCGCCCCAGCAGATAAAAACATTGAGCGGTCCTCGAGCCTGGCTGCAAGGCTGGCGGCAGGCGCTCACTCTGCGATGCCCGCCGAGAACGCCCCGCGGGAAGCGACGCGTTCCCTCGCTCGAAATTCACGCGGGCACCGACGGCTGACGCGCCGTCTGCGCGACCGGGCTGCGCGCCCTGGGGCGCCTGCCACGCCCCCAGGGTGCCCCCGCGATCAGGCGGCGCAGCGCCCACAGACCCGCGCTGCCGAGCGAGGCGACAAACGGCGACAACCCGAGCTCATGAAGTCTGCGAAGAAGGCAGAGGCGAAGAGCAGCCCGACGCGCCGAGCCCGAACAGCCAGTCTCTGGCGCTCGACGCCGTCTGAGACGTCGTCGCTGACTCTGAGAAGGGCCCGCGCCGCTGGCGCCGCCCAAGCAGACCTCCGAGGCGGCGGCCAGGAAGATGGGGGGGCGTCGCGCTGGCGAGCCATGCGTCGCTTGAAATCACCCCAGGGCGGCCGCCGCCTGCCGCGCCCTGAACCCCGCCGTCGAGCCCTCGAGAAGGCGGGGCTTGCTCCCCGCGGCGGCACACGATAGATGGAAGCAACCCAGACCCCCGACGTAATGATTTTTTCATTACGTCGACCCCCAGAGGTCCCGACCCTTTCCCTATTACCGGCTTTGCATCCTGAGTCGTTTTTTGACGCTCCCGAGGCCCGGTGAGGGCCCCCGGAAGCCGAAAATTAGGAAAAACCTCCCGTCGTGATTTTTTCATTACTCGAGGGGGTCTGGGAAGCCGTCAGGCCTGCCCTCCTCCCCTCTCTCCCTTCTTCCCCTTGGCGGTCTGCTTCGCCGACGGGGTCGCGTCGATGCCCTTGGCCAGAGCGGCCTCCCCGCGCGCCCTGCGGCGCTCCTTCCGCGCGGCGGCGCGCGCGGAGAGCTCCTCGGCCACGGAGTCCTCCGACTCGGGCATGGCGATCGCGCTGCCTCGCGAATTCTGGACGCCCAAGAATCGGGGAGACGTAAGACCTGGGTACGGGGGACTCGGAAATCCCCGACGAGGTCGTCAAAAAAATGACGAGGCCGAGCCTGCATTTTGACGAGGCCTCCCGCTGCAGACATCCCACGAAACTCCTCCTCGTCAAAATCCGAGTCGCGGTCGCCAAAAAACGATGGCGAACCCGAGTCCCGGCAAACCCGGGTCTTACGCTCCCCCGAAAGAACAACGGGCGCTCGTCCAGCCAGTCGTCGCCGCCAGCCGACCCAGTCTCCACCTCGCGGAGCAGATCCTTGCAGGCACTCCCCCACATCAGATGGCGACGGCTGGTGAGCGCAGGCGCCGCCAGGTTGCACACCTGCACCTGGCCAATCGCGAGAGCGACCGCCAACAACTGGGACAACAGCAGGTGCTCGTCGACCCCCGCGTCCGACGCGGCAAGCCGTAGCACCGAGCGCCACCAGTAGTGGCGCTGCACTGGCCCCCGGCTGCCCTCGTGGATCCGCTCCGCGACGAAATGGGTCGAGCGCGGCCCCTCGATCTCCCAACCCGCGGCGAAGTCCACCTCCTTCATGGCATGCAGCGCGCCCGAGAACGGCCGAAGGAAGCGCCGCGTGCCGCCCCGCTTCACAGGCAGGATACGAAAGTCCGACACCTCTACCGCCGCTTCCTTGACGAGGTAGTCCTCCAGTCCGCCCGAGAGCGCCGTGCCGTCCGTGAGGACGAACAGGCACTGATCGTTGACGACGTGGGCCCGGTCACCCATGTGCGACAGCAAAGAGTCACCGACCTTCGCTCCACCCCGGCTCTCAGCGGCGACCCACTTGCCCGCGGGCGTCGCGGGCGGGCAGCCCTTACCAGGAGGCGCGGGCGCGGCGTCCGCGTCAGCGTCAGCAGGGCGGAGGCCCTTGGCCAGCGCCTCCCTCGTGTCATGTAGCACTGCCTGTCCTTGCCGAGCGCGAAGTGGTCGAAGCGGTGCACCGCCAAACCCCGCAAGGCGTCGGGCAGGGCCCCACCAGCGCCGAACTTCTTGAGCCCGTCGCAAGGCTCCCCTCGCAGATGCCGAAATCCCTCGAGATTACGACCCAGGTCGCCCCGGTGATGTGGGCGAGGAGCAGCCTCTCATGCCACTCCACAACCGCCCCGTCCGCGTCCTGGTAGTAGCAGACGAGGACCCGATTGCCGACCTGCAGGTGCTGGACCCAGTCGGGCGTCGCCATTCTCGCTGTCCGTGGTGATGATTTTTGACGTCGCCCAGGAAGGCGCGGGCACATGGGTCACGCTGCGGCCGATGCAGAGGCCCGCGGTGACGGCGCCCACGAGGAGAGGCACGACAGACAGCAGCAGCCAGGCGGCTGTCCAGCCACCAGCGGCGGCCTGCGTCTCGCAGTGGCAATCGAATTGGCAGACACACTGCGTGAGACGCCCCACTAGATCGGCCAGCAGGCGGTACTCGCCAGACACCGCCGCCCCGGGAGCGGCCACCTCGCAATGGCAATCCACAGGGCTGGGATAGGCCAGCGCACGGAAGAGGGCCAGCTCACGTGGGGCCGAGCGGGTGGCCAGGAGGGGGCCGAAGGCTTCCATACACTCCTGAACCAAAAAGCCTGCAGAGCGGAAGCACGAATGCCGAGGCCAGTCATCATCATCATCATCATCATCATCATCATCATCATCATCATCATCATCATCATCATCATCAGCATCATCATCATCATCAACATCATCATCATCATCATCATCAACATCAGCATCACCATCATCAGCAGCATCATCATCAGCATCATCAGCATCTCATCATCATCAACATCATCACCACCATCATCAACCTCGCAATCATCATCACTCGTTATCGCCATCCGCATCGCCATCACAACCAGCAGCACCATAAACATCCATACGCTCAAACATTCATATCACGCTCTCCATCATGCATTCATAGATCTATCACTGGACACTCATATTGAGGCCTCGGGAAGGAGCCTCGTTTGTGAGTGACTTGCAAGGGAATCTCAGGCGGGAACCTCTCTCAACTAATTAGGCTCTCCAAATCATGTCAACAATCCGAGGGTGTCATGGCACACCTGTAACTGCCGGCACTGTTGGGCTCCTGAATGCGGAATCTGGAGGACGTCTCGAGCGGGGGCCTCGTCTGAGTGATTTGCGAGAAAGTCTCAGGCGGGAGCCTCCTCCTTCTAGGGCCCCCCAAATGATGTTACAACTCCGAGGTGTCCTCCAAAACCTATAGCCTTCGCCACTTTTGGGCTCCTGAAGGCTTGAATCCGGAGGACATCTGGAGCGGGAGC